CAGCTTGGGTTACCTGGTTAGACCCTGAAAAGAATGTCAACAGAGGACAGTGATAACTTAGACTGATAAAAGTCAAAACTAGGTGAAAGCAGGGGCTGGTGATGTAAGTCAGTTGGTAGACAGCTTGCCCAGCATCCATAAAGCCCTGGATTTGATTCCTAGCACCATACAAACATGGTATGATGGCATAAACCTGTGATCTCATCACTCAGGATGTGGAGGAAGGACTGTTGTAACACAAAATATAAAAGACCTAGAGACTGATAGTGGGGTTCAAGCTTCAATCTGAAGACCAGAAAAGCAAAGCAGCCGGCTGCTAGCTGTTACCTCTACCTCAGCTCAGACCAAAGGGGTGATCCTCAGACTGCTTGCCCCAGATTTACTCAGACTGCTATGCTCTCCTCAATGAGGCTAGACACTCATTCTCAGATTGAATGCTTCTACCTTTTACACTTCTCAAATTGTGGGACTAAATGGGTGAGCTTTGATTTATTCTCTAGTAGCTCAGGGTGGTCTTGGACTCAGAGATCCCTCTACCTCTTAATCCCTAGCCCTGGTATTAAAGGTGTGTGCCAGGCTTCTATGGCTAACTAGTATGGCTGCTTTGCTATTTTGATCTCCAGTGGCTTTAATAAGTCATAAACAATGTATCGTCCGAGTACTAGAAGTTTTCAATCATCCTCAGCTACATAGCAGTTTTAACCCTGCTGCATATGACCCTGCTTCAAAACAAAAAAAAATCTAGGTGAAAAATAAGTTCACTCAGGGACCCTGGTGCAGAAGAAAGAAGAGTGAATAAGAAAGAACTGACCATCACTCCCAGCTGGGTGGTGGTGGTGGCGGTTTCAAGAAAAGGTTTGCTTGCTTGCTTGTTTGGTTAGCTTTGGCTGTCCTGGAACTCAATCTGTAGATCAAGCTGCCCTTGAACTCAGAGATCCATTTGTCTCTGCTGCCCTAGTGCTGGGATTGAAGGTGTGCACCACTATAGCCTGATGGGAAACCTTTCTTTTAATTCATCCATGTACCACTTTGGGTTCTTCTCCGTTCTGCCATGGAGCTTCATTTTCTTCTGCTACCATCTTTCAACAGTTCCTACATTCCAAGTCTGCTGATGACAAAGCCTTAATTTTGTTGGTCAGTAATGTTCTTTTTTTTTTCCCGAGACAGGGTTTCTCTGTAGCTTTCGAGCCTGTCCTGGTACTCACTCTGTAGACTGGGCTGGCCTTGAACTCACAGAGATCTGTCTGCCTCTGCCTCTGGAGTGCTGGGATTAAAGGCGTGCGCCACCACCGCCCGGCTGCAGAAATATCTTTATAAGTGAAGGTGAAATAAGAACATTACTGACCCCCCTTTTTTCCTTCAATGCTGGAACCAACTCTAGGGCCTGTGCTTACTAGACAAGTGGTCTTCCATTGACTAAATACTTCTTCCTCCTTTATTGTTGTTTCATAGTACTAAGGATTAAACCTTGGGCCAGACACTTTAGTACAGCACACTACCAAATTCTTAGCCTGACTTTTCTTCTTATATTTACTTACTGTACATGTGCACACTCAGGACACTGCATTAGTGTGGAGGCTAGAGGACAACTTGTGTAAATTGGTTCTCTCCTTCTACCTTATGGGTTCTGGGGCTCCAACCCAGGTTGTCAGGCTTGGCATAAGAACCTCACACACTGAACCACTTCACTGTCCTTTTCTCTTAATTACAGCAAATGTTTGCACCCACAGACAGCCCTTATGATTGGTGATTCCAGCATCAGCACTACACAGGTTTTTTTCAAACTCTTCTCTTTCTCCCCACCTGCCTGCTCCCCTCCAGGACCATGTAGTCCTTAGCCCTGGCTGGCCCCACACTTACTATGTAGATGAAAATGGCCTCTAACTCCTGAGCTGTGATGAGAAGGTGGGGTATCACAAGTAGCTCTTTGTTTTATTTTGAGATATTCTCATGTAGTTCAGGCTAGCCCATAACTCACTATGTAGAAGAAGATGACCTTGAATTTCTCATCATTTTACCTCCACCTTCCAAATGTTTACAAATTTAAACCACATGCCTGACTTTATGGCTTTAATGAAGTCTTCAAAGGAAAATGAAGAGCCACCTCTTAAGAGTGATCATTAATGGGAGGCCTTAATATAAGTAGGTAAATCGTCCTGGTTGGAGCTGGGATATAGCTCCCTGGTGAGTATATGCTTACTATACAGAATACATTGGGTTCAGTGCCCAACACTGAAAATATTTCCCCTGAATGGGTAGTACAGAATTTAATCATTGTGTGTGTGTGTGTGTGTGTGTGTGTGTGTGTGTGTGTGTGTGTGTGTTGGGATACAAATTGTTTCCATGTTTCTGTGAACTGAAGCTCCCAGAAAAAAGTCAAACCAATAGTAAAGAATCAGTTGACTGACTGATTAGAACATAATGATTATGAACAATTAGCAGGCTGTAGATCCAGAGCAAATTATCTTGGGCTATCTTCAGTCTCCCTAAGAGCCATTCACTGAAGCTAGGTCTGATTCACACAACTTTAATCCCAGCACTGAGGAGGTAGAGGTAGGAGGATCTCTGAGTTTGAGGCCAGCCTGATCTACAGAGTGAGTTCCAGGACAGCCAGGATTACACAGAAAAACCATGTCTCCAAAAATCAGGAAAAGAAAAAAAAGAGCACTTAACCTCTGTTTTTGACCTAACATCTTTGTGATTATCAGGTAAAACTTTTGGAATGAATTAACTTAATATACAAGCTTCTACCAATCAAAAGCTAAGAATATCACTAGATAGTGTTTGAAACTTCTCCCACTCTGCTGTAACCAATATGTATACATAGGTGGAAACATTACACACACACACACACACACAATTTTAAGATTTATTTATTTGTTTATGTATAATGCTCTCTCTACACACCTGAAAAGGGCACCAGATTTCATTATGGATGGTTGTGAGCCACCATGTGGTTGCTGGGAACTGAACTCAGGACCTCTGGAAGAGCAGCCAGTGCTCTTAACTGCTGAGCCACCTTTCTAGCTCCTATATTATACTAGCCCCTATATTATATATTTTTTTCTATTAATTTGGCTGGGCAATGGTGGTGCATACCTTTAATCCCAGCAGTTGGGAGGCAGACACAAGCAGATCTCTATGAGTTCAAGGGCAGCCTGGTCTACAGAGCCAGTTCTAGGACAACCAGGGCTAGAGAAACCTTCTCAAAAAAAAAAGATTTTATTTATTTACGTTATGCTTGTGTGTAAGTGCCTGAATATATGTCTCTGCCCCATGTGTGCACAGGCGACTAAGTCTAGAAGAGGGTGTTGGCTCACCTAGAGCTAGAGTTACAAGCAGTTGTGCAATTCTCTTGTGGGTGCCGAGAACTGAATCCAGATCCTCTGGAGGAGCAGGCACTTTTCTTAACCACTAAGCCAGCATTTCACTCCCTGTTTCCTTTGGCTTTTTTTTTTTTTTTTTTAATAGGATCTCACTACGTAGCCCTGGCTGTGCTGGAACTTGCTATGTAGACCAGGCTGGTCTTGAACTCACAGAGATCTACTTCCCCAGTGCTGAGATTGAAGGGCTAAAGCACCTTGCCCCGCCCTACCAAAGTATTTAAAGACTGAGTTTACCAGTTTTACCCTGTAACTATAAAAACTCTTTCTTTTCTTTTCTGAGACTGGGTTCCTTTGTGAAGCCCTGGCTGTCCTGGGACTGGCTTCATTGGCTAGGCGGGCCTGAAACTCAGAGATCTGCCCCTGTCTGCCTCCTGAGTGCTGGGATTAAAGGTGTGTGCTGCTGCCACCACCAGATAGAATAGATTCTTATTCCCTTTCAGGCAAGATCTGTTTTGTGTTGACAACTACTATACTAACATTATTAAAAATGACTGTTTACTTTTCATGGAATTTGTTGTAAAATTTTTTATTAATACTATACTTAATGTGTGTGAACGAATGTCATGTCGAAATCAGAGGACTACTTGCAAGAATTGGTTCTCACCTACCAATGTGAGTTCCCAAGACTGAAGACTGTTTGGAGACAAACACCTTTACCCTCTGGATGTCAGATAGTTTCTTATAAATGTAATTACTGGATAGGAACAATCCAATTTCCCCCTTTTGTCCAATTGTTTTTTTTTTTTTTTTTTTTTTTGGTTTCTCTGTATTGTTTTGGAGGCTGTCCTGGAACTAGCTCTGTAGACCAGGCTGGTCTCGAACTCACAGAGATCCGCCTGCCTCTGCCTCCCGAGAGCTGGGATTAAAGGCATGCGTCACCAACGCGGGGCTTCGACACCTGCTTTTAAAGAAGCTACCAGGTGGGAGTGGGAAAGGAGTTAACGGACAGCGGGAAGCTCCGTAGCAGAGTGTGTGCTTTGCGTGTCCAAGGTCTCGGTTTAAATCTGAAGCAAAACCAAAAGCAAAATAACCCTAAAACGTAAAAGCGGGGACTCTATTATACTTACCAGTGAGAAGCTGGAGGGGAGTAGAAAAACTGACAAGAAGGTATGTCTGGGTTCAGAAAACGCCAAATACCAGTGAGCTAGGGTGACTTGTGACAGGTGGGTTAACGGCAGGAAAGCATTTGTTTTGAACCAGAAAAACCCGGATTCTAAAGTCATTCCTGTCACTCTGTGACCTTCATAGGTTTCCCCCTTGTATTTCGGCCTTAGTTTTTTGTCTCAGGCTCTAAGTTTCCCACGATTTTCAGACGAGGATTCCAGCCTGCACTGCGCTGGCGCCCCATTTATAGAGGAACCTACGGAACCGGCTTCAGTCCGGAAGCGCCCCCTAAACCTGCGCAGGCACTTCCGGTCTGCGGGAACAAAGAATCTGAAGTACTCAAGGCCTCACTTCCGCGTGACGAAAGCTGCGCTGAGACGTCGATCCGCAGGCTGCAGACCCGTGACTTGGCATCGGGACTGCTCATGCGCCTCGCACGCGTGAGGCAGGTGGGCGGGGCCCTGGAGGAGGCGGGGCCCACCCTGACTTGTCTCGCGGTTACTGGGCCTGCGGGAGCGCGCGAGGCTCGTGGGCGGTGCTAGGCGGGTCCCACCCCGGGATCACTGGGAGGTTGTGCCCGGAGTGTAGAGCGGCCGTGGTTGTCTCGGGCCAGGGGTCGCGCCGGAAGCGGCTGTGCCGGGCGTCCGGGTGTTGGTAGGAAGCTGCGAGAGGAGTTCAGTCATTCAAGGGGGCGCGGCACCACTGGGCGTTCTTCTCTGCCCCCTGCGGCAGCCATGGCGAAAGGCCGAGTCGCCGAGCGAACCCAGACGGGGGCGTTGCACTCGACCCCGGCGGGGCACCGGTCATCGGGGACGCGCGGTTCCGACACTCCAGCCAGCAGAGACCTCCTGAAGGGTGAGTGGACCTGCGGGCCGGTGCTGAGGCTACACTAAAGGTCGGAGGGGCAAGTACCCCAGCAGGTCGCAGGGGAAGACGACCTTCCAGCTCCCAAGGACCGCAGCAGGAGACAGGTGTACTTGGCGGTGGGGGGCACCGCACGATAGAAGGTCAGACTCCTAGTAGATACTTTCTCAATAGACTCCAGTTAAAAGAAGCGATGACGCTGACTTGTTGAAGCGCAGAGAGACAATGAGGTTGGTTACCCAGGCTACCTACCAGGCAGGTGTTCAAGAGTCTTGAGGCTTCATTGCATTCTTTTACAGATGAACAAACTGAGGACCAGGCAGGCACATGACTTGTGCAGAGTCACAACCAAACTAAGGTAGTGATTAAGTCCTTTCAGGTGCCACTTGAAAGTGTCAGATCCTGTGCTTCCATTTCTCCTGGTCTGTAACTTTGATTTTTGTTTGTGTTTTTGATTTTTCGAGACCGTTTCTCTGTATAGCACTGGCTGTACTGGAACTTGCTCTGTAGACCAGACTGGCCTCGAACACAGGGATCCACCTGCCTCCGTCTCCCTATTGTGGGGATTAAAGCAGTGTGCCACCACCACCCAGCCCTGACCCTGTCTTTAAACTAACTAACTAACTAAATAAATAAATACATAAATAAACAAATCAAATCGAATTCAAGTCGAGGGTACACCGTTTTGAAGACTGAAGTGTGGAGAGAGACTAATCCAAGCTCTAGGTTTCTTGCAGGGGTGCTATCCAGGTAGGGCAAGCCTAATGATTGTCATTTGGCTTGAGATAGTTTTCAGTTGTGTGGGTTTGTTTGTTTTTGTTGTTGTTGTTCCTTTTAGAGTTGCTAAATAATAATAATATCTCAGAACTTTCCAAGTTCCTTTATGGTGGTTTCTTTTACCAAGTGACTTGCTAACTACACATACATAAGCCGAAGGATAGAGATTCGAAGATGTTCTCTCTTGGAAAAGTGTTTAGATACGTATCTAGGATAAGGGAAGACGACTCTGAGCTGGGGGAAAGAGTGGGCTTGAAGGTTAGTGTGACACCCGCCCTTTATGTGTGTCAAAGAAGTCTGTCACCAATGGAGGTTTTTGTTGGGTGCTAGGAGCTTAAGTGAGTCTATTTGGCATGTAGTTAGATTGTTAGGCAAAAAAGATTTAAAAAAAAATCTTGTTTATTAGTAATTCATCCTCTCCCTTTTTTCTTCCTTTCTTATTTATTTATTTTGGCCTTTCGAGACAGGGTTTCTCTATGTAGCTTTGGAGCCTAACCTGGCCACTCGCTCTGTAGCCCAGGCTGGCCTTGAACTCACAGAGATCCACCTGCCTCTGCCTCCCGAGTGCTGGGATTAAACGCGTACGCCACCAATGCTGGGCTCTTTTTTTTTCTTAATGTTAGGAATTCTCTCTCTGGAGCAAAAGATTTTCATTCCCCCCCCCCTTTTTTTTTTGTTTTTGTTTGGTTTTTCAAGACAGGGTTTCTTTCTGTGGGCTTTGGAGACCAAGCTGGCCTTGAACTCACAAGAGAGCCACCTACCTCTGCCTCCCAAGTGCTGGGATTAAAGGAGTGTGCCACCACAGCCTGGCTTTGTGGCCCTCTTAGGTGATAGGATTTAGTTTACTTAGCATTTTGCTGTAGTGGTGCCATTTAATAACTAGTTAGCAACTGATTTTCTAGGATTGGAAAAGCAATTTTTATTCATAGTAGGTAGCAACTTGCCATTCCGCCCCCCCCCCCCAAAAAAGTAAAGATTCTAATAACCTTTGATTGAAAACTACTAAGTGATAGATTCTTCTTACAAATTTTGTAACACTTTAGTGTATGGCTTTTGTTTGTTTTTAAGATAAAGTCTCAGGGGCTGGAGAGATGACTCAGCAGTTGAGAACTGGCTGCTCTTTCTGAGGACCTGAGTGCAGTTCCCATAACCACATGGTGACTCACAACCTCTAGAATGAGATTTGGTGCCCTCTACTGGAGTGAGGAATATATTATGCAGGTAGTCTCACCATGTATCCCAAGCTGACCTGGAGATCTTTCTTCCTCAGCTTCTGTGTACTGTGATTCCCAAGAATGGACCACTATATGCCAGGTCTTGACGGTTTTTTGTTGTATGAGAGATGGTCTTACTAAATAGACCAGGCTGGTTTCCATTTTTTTGGCAGTCCTGTCTCTATCTTCCCAGTACTGGGATTGAAGACAGGTGCCACCATCAGTGATCTTTTATGTGTGAGGTTTTGTGTTTTGTGTGTGTGTGTGTTTTGCACGAATGTGTGCAAGTGCTTACATTTGGGAGACAGATACAGGAAGCTCGGGAGTTTAAGATCGCCTTTGATAACTTTTTTGAGTTGGAGGCCAGTCTGGTCTACATGAAACCATCTCAAAAAAAAACAAAAAAACAAAACAAAAAAAACCCCAGAAAACATAGAGGTATGATAGGGTTAATTTTTATTTTTTGAAGCAAGTATGTAACCTTGACTGAACTGGAACTCACTATGTAGACCAAGGTGGCCTCAAACTTAATTCATCTGCTTCTGCCTCCTGAGTGCTCAGGCTGTTTTGAAGATGTTAATGAGACAGTTCATAGAGCAGGATCTAGAAGGAGGGAAGTCTGTTAACATTTAACAAAAAGAAAGGATAAGACAAGGGAAAATGAGGCTGGTCATTGGTGGCTTTAATCCCAGGACTCGGGAGGCATGTTTGAGACCAGCCTGGTCTACAAGAGCTAGTTCCAGGACAGGCTCCAAAACAATATAGAGAAATCCTGTCTTGAAAAACCAAGGAGAACAAAACAAAAGACAAGGGAAAATGGTTTTGTGAACAGAAGGGATAGACTGGAGGAGTTCACTAAACTAAGAGGCAGGGTACAAGGAGAGTGATGTGTCAGGATTCCCAGATTGAAGCAGGGAAACTATATGGACTTGTAGGTTGACAAAGCACGACTCTTTCTCAAGCAGTACCTTTGACCTGGGAGAAAGTTGGAAAGCTTGATAGTTGGATAAGAGTATAATACTAGATAATAACATTAATGGAGCATAGTTGTAGTATTGGAAGATTTAGAAGCCAATGCATTTCTTTTTTTTTTTTTTATATTGATGTTTCTTTCTTTTAATATAGGTTAGAAACAATCTGGTTTCACATGTCAATCCCAGCTCCCTAGCTAATGCATTTCAAGTGCAGGCATGGTGACTGCCAGAGCTAAGCACACCCATCTGTCATAGCTGTACAAAGATATATTAGGTGGGGCAGTGGTGCCACATGCCTTTAATCCCAGCACTCGGGAGGCAGAGGCAGGTGGATCTCTGAGTTCGAGGCCAGCCTGGTCTACAGAGCGAGTTCCAGGACAGCCTCCAAAACAATACAGAGAAACCCTGTCTCGAAAAACCAAAAAAAAAAAAAAAAAAAAAAAAAGACAGGCACCAAAGCTATAACAGAGAAACCCTGTCTTGAAAAAAAAAAAAGTACTATACATGGTATAGATTCAGATGGAAATTATGTGTAAAACAACATTTATAATTTTATGCTCAGAACTATAAATAGATTGCATGCTACCCTTTAGATTTGCTGGAATTATGCAGAAGCATATTAGATCATAGTTATTAGCACTGTTTAGCATGTGTGAAAGTAGTAACACCTTTTCTGTGTTTTTTTTACTTTGTTGATGAGTATAATAATGGCTGATACAGATGGAGGTAGCTTAGTTTTAGTGAAGAGAATAGGTGTCAAGTTAATTAAACCTTAGAAGCTATCAGTCACTAAACAAGTAGCAAGTAGATGTGTACTCAAAACTCTGGTTAGTTAGTGCTCTGTAGTCTAGTTAACCATTTCTGAAACTTGTCCCAGTTGACCCCTAACTTAGGACTGGTGAATCCTTAGTGCAGGGAAAACAAATTAATTTTCAGATAACATAACAAATGCCTTATTTAAATTTTAACTTCAAAGCTGATACACATGCCTTTAATCCCAGGGCAACCAGTCTCAGAAAAAAAATGTTTTAACTTCAAAAGACTGTTTAAATCCTTAAAATGTATTTACATATATACAGTACTGGTTAGAAAGCTCTTTCCCCATCCTTTTTGTTTTGTTTTGTTTTTTTGTTTTTTTGGAGACAGGGTTTCTCTATTGTTTTGGAGCCTGTCCTGGAACTCGCTTGGTAGACCAGGCTGGCCTGGAACTCACAGAGATCCACCTGCCTCTGCCTCCCCAGTGCTGGGATTAAAGGCATGCACCACCAATGCCTGGCATATTATTCCCATTTAAGAGACTTTAATTCCAGCACTTAGGACACAGAGGCAAGCAGATTTCTGTAGGTTAAAGCACAGCTTAGTTTACAGAGGAAGTTCCAGGATAGCCAGGACATACAGAGAAACCCTGTCTCCAAAAGCCAATATATATATATGTTAAATACTCTGAGTTCATGGACTTTGTTCTGATAAAATAAGCTAAAACTTTGGGCTGGAACAAGTTAATTCTAGGTGGTAGGTTAAATTTTTTTCACATTTACTTATTTATTGGTGGGTAGATAGGGCATTTGTGTATGTGCCAAAACGCACATATGTGGAGGTCAGAGGACAATTTGCAGGAGTCTGATTAGTCTTTCCTGATTGTGGGCGTCAGGGATGAAATTGAGGTCGTCTGTCAGGTTTGGTGGCAAGTGCCTTTATCTGTTGAGCCATCTTCTCAGCCCTGCAGATTTTAAAATAGTGTGTCTTTGAGAGACAATAGGCATAGTAAACAAAAACAAAAAATAAAACTACATGTATAACAGTACTTACATGTATAACATGTCTTTGTTTTGATGATAGCCCATTGAAAACTGTTTTTGTTTGTTGAGACAGGGTTTCAGTGTTTCTCTGTCTAGTCCTGCCTGCCCTGGTACTGGCTTTGTAGACCAGGCTGCCTCTGCCTCCCGAAATTCTAGGATTAAAGGTGTGGGCTACTGAGCCTGAACTTCTTATTCACTTCTAAGACTACTTTTTATTTGATGAGAAAACCAATTAGCCTTATGGAAACAAGGTGTGAAGGTGTGTGTGTGTGTGTGTGTGTGTGTGTGTGTGTGTGTGTGTGTGACACAGAGAGACAGTTTTTGAGGCAGGGTCTCCTTATGTAGCCTAGGTTTGTTTGTCTTCAACTCTCAATTCTGCCTCAGCTTCCTAATAACTGTGATTCTTAGGTGTGTGCTACCATACCTTGCCTAGTCTTCTGTCCTAGGAACAAAAGCTACATTTTTTGATTCAATTGGTATTAATACGTACTGATGTTTTTATAACTTGTTTTGTGTGTTGCCTGTGTGGTGCATGCATGTGAGTGGGTAGGTATGAGCACTTACAATCATACACACAGAGCCCAGAACAGAAAGATGTCCTCCTTTATTGCTGTCTGCCTACTGCCTTCGGACAGAATCTTACTGAGTGTGAAGCTCCCCTTTGGGCTAGGCTGGCTGGATGTGAATCTGGGGAATCTTTGGAACTCACTGCTCATGTTACTCGCTTAGCCATTTTCTCAGCTCCATAAAAACTTTTGTTTTCAAAGGTTTCTTTTTATGTTGTTTGTCTGCATTCATGTACATGCCCCCCTTACTCTGGTGTATGTGGAAGCTGGAAGAGGGCATCAGATTCCCTGGAGCTGGAATTTTGAATGGTTGTGAGCCATCATGTAAGTGCTAAGAACAGAACTTTGAAGAACATTGAGCTTCTTTACCAACCTCTGCAGCCCCACAGCTGTTGATTCTTGAGGCAGAGGTCTTGTTTATCCCAGGCTAGCCATAATTGCACTGTCTATCCCAGGCTGACCTTTGACCTTGAACAATTCTTCTTTCTGAGAGTTGGGTTTACATATTTGACTTGCCTGTAATGTATTATGTGTGTGTTGTATATATGTACATGTTTGGGTGGTGGTTGCATGTGGAGGCCAGAGGTCAATTCAGGTTATCTTCCTCAATTTTTCCTTTTTTTTTTTTTTTTTTGAGATGGGTCCTTGCTCTGTAGCCCTGGCTGTCCTAGAACTGTATATATGAAATTGGCCTTCAATTGAAAGACACTTATACAAGTTTCTGCCTCCTGAATGCTGGGAGATGGCCAATGAGTGGTTCTTACCACAAGTCAAGTAACTGGTTTAATGTCATAATTTTTGACAAAAGTATGAACAGTTTTTGGGAGGAAAGGTTTTGAGGATGTTATTAGTTAGCTTGAAATATGATTTATTTTAATTGTACTTTTTTTTCTTCTTTCAGACAAACCTTGTGCAGAAGCTGGGTCAGCAAGAATGTCACTCCTTATACTGGTGTCCATTTTCTTATGTGCAGCTTTTGTTATGTTTTTGGTATATAAAAATTTTCCTCAGCTCAGTGAGTAAGTATAAACCAGAGAAACTAAAATTGTCTATATATTAGAGATGAAGTGAATTAAAAGCTAAATTTCCTTTAGCAGCACTGCTATTACAGAACTTGAATACCATCTCTCATAGATTATAGAAGTCTGTGAGCACTGTTATATCATATTTTCCACTTTCCTGCCATTTTGTTTTTTAGACAGGTTCTCTTATCTCCTCTTCAGTTTAAACTCCTGTTTTCAAGACAGGGTTTCCCTGTCCTAGAACTCTTCTTAGATCAGGCTAGTCTAGAACTCTCAGTGATTTGCCTGCCCCTGCCTCCCGAGTGCATATACCACCACTACCCTGCAAGTATGTTTTTAGTATGTTAATACCTGTGACTCATTTATTAATGTTTAAATTAATATTAAAGCGAATATTACAATGTTTTTAATCTTTTGTTTGTATCATTTTGAACTTTAATGTGTGTGTTTATAGACTGTTATATGTAAAAAAATAAGAATTTGTCCATATTAAATATCAATTGCATTGCCTCATTTTGGTTTAAAACTCCCATGTTTTGAATTTGACTTTGATTTTTATCATAGAATTCTGGTTTCCAAAAATTTTTACGTTATCAATTTTATTTGTTTAGAGACGAAAGAGTGAATATGAAGGTTCCAAGAGATATGGATGATGCCAAAGCTCTAGGAAAAGTTCTCTCCAAATATAAGGACACCTTTTATGTACAAGTATTGGTTGCTTATTTTGCTACATATATTTTGTATCCTTTTATCTGAAAAATGTTTTCTAATTTCTTCAAGATGAGGTTCTAAAGGTCTATTGTACTGTTTAAGTAATGACTGTTTTCCTTTTAAAATGTTAGTACTGAGGCCAGTGAGATGGGTTAGCAGGTAAAGGAGATTGCTGCCAACCAAGCCTGTCCTGTATTTGATTCTTAGGACCACATGGTAGAAGGGGAAAACCTGCTCCTGAAAGTTGCTCTCTGACCTCCACACATTCCACTTAGTGTCAGCACACACAAATTAATTTAATATTTAAAAATAAATTTGAGGCAGGATGTCAATGTGTAGCCCTCGCTTGCCTGGAACTCAAGTTCAGACTGGTCTTGAACTCACAGAAATCTATGTGCTGCACCCTCCCAGCATGCCTGGATTAAAGGGGTGAGGCACTAACATTAAGAAATGAGCTCTTAGCCGGTCGTTGGTGGCGCACGCCTTTAATCCCAGCACTCGGGAGGCAGAGGCAGGTGGATCTCTGTGAGTTCGAGACCAGCCTGGACTACCAAGCTAGTTCCAGGACGGCCTCCAAAGCCACAGAGAAACCCTGTCTCGAAAAACCAAAAAAAAAAAAAAAAAAAAAAAAAAAGAAAGAAAGAAAGAAATGAGCTCTCAAACTTTAAAACTCTGTTGGGGTCAGCTGGTTGTAGTGCAAGCCTTTAATCTCAGCATTCCAGAGGCAGAGGCAGGCAGATCTCTGAGAGTTTGTGGCCAGCCTGGTCTACAGAGTGACTTCTAGGACAGCCAAGGCTACACGGAGAAAAACCCTGTTTCGAAAAACAAACAAACAAAACACTCAAAGAAACAAAAAACCTCTGTTGGACATTGGTGGCTCACGTCTTTTATCCCAGCACTCTGGAGCCAGAGGCTGGCAGATCTCTGAGTCCTTTCAGCTTCAGTCTGGTCTACACACTGACATCTGGGGTGTTTCTCAACCTTTGGGGGTTGAATGACCCTTTCGTAGAAAACAGATATTTACATTACAATTTATAACAATAGCAGAATTCCAGTTATGAAGTAGGACAGCCTCCAAAGCCACAGAAACCCTGTCTCCTCCCCCCCAATAATTTTGTGGTTGGGGGTCATCACAACATGAGTAACTGTATTAGAGGATCAAAACATTAGGAAAGTTGAGAACCACTGATTTAGAGAGCCTGTCTCAAAAACCAAAACAGCAACAAACATATTTTTTTGAAAAGATAATGGGAAGATTCTTACTACAGTGCTGTTTTAACTGGGCGTGGGTGGCACATTCCTTTATTTATTTATTTATTTATTTATTTATTTATTTATTTATTTATTTAGGCTTTTTGAGACAGGGTTTCTCTGTAGCTTTGGAGGCTGTCCTGGAACTCACTCTGTAGACCAGGCTAGTCTCGAACTCACAGAGATCCGCCTGGCTCTGCCTCCTGAGTGCTGGGATCAAAGGCGGGGACCACCAATGCCCCACTGGTACATGCCTTTAATCCTTGAACATGAGACAGAGGCAGGCAGATGGATCTGTCATTTCAAGTCCTGGTCTACAAAGCAAGTTCCAGGACAGGCAGGGTTGTTACACAGAGAAACCCTAGTCTTGGAAAACAAGCAAAAAATTCTACTTATTTGGAATATTTATTTATTTTAAGATACGTGTTGGTGTTTTGCCATGGGTTCCCTGAAACTGGAGTTACAGACAGGTGTGTGCTGACATGTGGGAATTGAACCCTGGTCCTATTGAAGAGCGGGCAGTGCTGTTAACTGCTGAGCCATCTCTCCAGCCCCTGGAATACTTTTTTAAAATCATTTTTATAGGTTATGAATCTTTAAATTTTAAGTAATCATCTTCAAATATGAGTTATTCTATCATTCAAGCTTTTTCTGTGTATGGATAGTTTGCCTATGGGATGTCTTAGGTGTGGTACCCTCAGAGAGAGCACTGGATTCCTGGAACTGGAGTGAGAGACTGTTGTAAGCCTCCACAGGGATGCTGGGGGTCTGGAAGAACACCAGTGTTTTTTTGACTGTCGAGTGGTGTCTCTAGCCCCATATCATTGTTTTTCAAACTAGTCTCTTGGCTTGGGTAATTATTTAATTCTACAAAACAGTGTTAAGAAATTTATCAGTGCTGCTCAATATGGCATACACTTGTATCCTATAGTTTATTATTGCAAAATGCATTTAGTTTAAAATTTTAAGCAGTCCAGCAAGCTTTATTACACACAAGTACTATTTATTTGATAAATAGTAGTCATTTCACCTGTTGGAATTTTTATTTTGTGTATTTTAAAGGCTTATTTATTTTATGTAATGGATGTTTGTTCTGCACACTAGAAGAGGTCATCTGATCCTGTGAGACTACAGTTACAGATGCTTGTAAGCCATCATGTGTGTGCTGGAATTGAACTTGGGACTTCTGAAAGAGCAGCTAGTGCTCCTGACTGATGAGCCATCTCTCCAGCTGTTTATTTTTATTTTATTATGGTGTGCGCACACACTTGTATGTAGAGCCAGTTCTTCCCTCACCGTTACATGGGTCCTAGGGAGTACACTCAGACTGTGGGATCAGATTCAGGTTGTCAGGATTGCATGGCAAACACTTCCCAGTGAGCCATTTGGCAGCCTGTTGTAGGTTTTTGTTTGTTTGTAATTTGTTAACCCCTTTTTGTTAAAATACTCCGTTTTGTTTTGTTTTTGTTTATTACTGTGTATGCTTATGTGCTCATGTTATGTGGAGGCCAGTGGACAATTTTGTGGAGTTGGTTTTCTCTCTTTTTTTTTTTTGGTTTTGGTTTTTTGAGACAGTGTTTCTCTGTTAACAGTCCCGGCTGTCCTGTAACTGTGAGCCAGGCTGGCCTCGAACTTAATGAGATCTACCTGCCTCTGCCTCCCAAGTGCTGGGATTAAAGGAGTGCCCCTCCACCATCTAGCTTTTGTTTTTTTTGTTTTTTTTTGTTTTTTTCATTTTTTTGTTTTTAAGACTGGAAGCGCTACATATCCATGACTGTCTTGGAACTTGCTATGTAGACAAGGCTGGCCTCAAAATCACAGAGATCCTTCTGCCTCTGATCCCAAGTGAGGTTAAAGGTGTGCACCACTATACACCCAGCCTGGTTTTCTCTTTCTACTTCTTAGTTCCAGGCATGAAACTTAAGTCACTCGGCTCCAAAGCAAGTGCTTCTATCTATCCACTGAGCCACCTCTCTAGCCCTTCTCATACTGTGGAATACTAAACTCTCAATATGAAAAGGTGGTCGTGGGAGGGCTCTAAAGCTACACAAACTCTGTCTCGAAAGATGCGCTTTTTAAATTGAGTAAACAATAGGGAGAGATGTGATCTTGGTGCATATAACAAAGATTTCATTTTACTAGCACAAGACTATTAGAACTAGGTGAGCTATCTAGACATAGAGAAAAAGTAATATCTGAAATTTAACATCTGTGTTGTACTGTAGTCTCTGTGTCAGATAATTTTGTCATTTCAAATGTAATCCATGATCAAGGGCCTCCAGTTCACTGAGTACCTGCTTCATACTGATCTTTAGCCCAGTTCCTAAATATTATTGATGGGATTTTAATTCCTTTTTTTTTTTTGTTGAGTTTTTTGTTTTGTTTTTTGAGACAAGGATTCTCTGTGTAGCTTTGGAGCCTGTCCTGGCACTCACTTTGTAGACCAGGCTGGCCTTGAACTCACAGAAATCCGCCTGCCTCTGCCTCCCAAGTGCTGGGACTAAAGGAGTAGGCCACCAATGCCTGGCTTGTTAGTTTTGTTTTGTTTTGTTTTGTTTGAGACAGGGTCTCATTATATGGCCATGACTGACCTGGAACTTGCTATGTAGACCAGACTGAGCTCCAACTCAAAAAGATCCGCCTGCTTTTCCCTTCCCAGGGCTGAGATTAAAGGTGTGTGCCACCCCTTCCTCTTTTTGTACTATTTCTCTGAAATATACTCTGTAGTTTATACTCATAACATATCTCTACTCAGACTTGCCACCTATCAGTGTCTTAACAGTAGTCATATATCCTATAGTGTCTCAGACTTCTATATAAAAAAAATTGGTGTGTGTGTTTTAAGGCAGGTTCACATGCAACCTATGCTGCTATTCAAGTTTGCTATGTAGCCAGTAATAACAGTGAACCCTTAATCCTTCTGAATCTACCTCCTAGATGTTTGTTTGTTTTTTGGCGTTTGCTACTATGGTTGGCTATTACTTTTATTCTATTTTTGGCTATGCTTTTAAAAGTTCCTTATTTTAATCCTAGTGTTCATTCATTTAACCAGTTTTTTGGTTTTTGAGACAGGGTTTCTCTGCATTGTTTTGGAGGTTGTCCTGGAACTCATTCAGACCAGGCTCTCCTCAAGCTCACAGAATCCACCTGACTCTGCCTTCTGAGTGCTGGGTTTAAAGGTGTGAGTTACCAATGCCCGGCCAACCAGTTTTTTTGAAAGTAGTAAGTATATACTAAGTACATATATTATGTTTGAGTAATGAGTATTAAAAACAAAGTTACGTCCCAGTGGTGGCCCATGCCTTTAATCCTAGCACTCGGGAGGCAGAGGCAAGTGGATCTCTGTGAGTTCAAGGCCAGCCTGGTCTACAGCGAAAGTTCCAGGACAGCCTCCAAAACAATACAGAGAAACCCTGTCTCGAAAAACAAAACAAAACAAAAAAACAAAGTTACTAAGTGGCTGGAATAATGGGAGAATGATACATAGAGACACAGCATAGTTAGTATAGTCTACATTAGCGCGTGTTAGGCTAGGGAACAGATGCATGTGGTTCTCTTGAGTTTGAATCTAACCTGGTCTACAAAGAAAGTTCCAAGCCAGCCAGGGACTACAAAATGGGACTCTCAAAACCAACAAAACAAAAACCCCAAAACAAAAAAGACATTACTGAAGACTTTTTTTTGGCCGAGCTGCCGTATTTGTCTTTGCTCAGTGTATTTTGGGTGTTTGTCCTTGATATCCTTTTAGCATAATATTATTAACAGTTTATTTGCTTGCTTAAATTTTGTATTAGTCAGTGTGTAGCTCTCTTAGTGCTAGAGGCATTCATTATCCTTTACTACTAGTTGAGTATTCCTAGTCCCCAAGCTAATATCCAGAATCTCCAAAGTGTGCAACTTGTTTTAGTGCAGATAAGATACCACAAGTAGAAAAATCCACCTGAGTTCCTGGGGCAAGTTTCAGTCCAACATGAAGTAGTAACACTATAGAAAATTACTTTGGGGGCTGGAAGAGATGGCTCAGAGGTTAAGAACACTGACTGCTCTTCCAGAGGTCCTCAGTTCAGTTCCCAGCAACCACATGGTGACTCACAACCATCTGTAATGAGATCTGGTGCCCTCTTTTGGTCTGCCGGGATAGATGCAGCCAGAACACTGGGTACATAATAAATAAATATAACTTAAAAAAAAAAAAAAGAAAGAAAATTGCTTTGGTGGGGCTGGAGAGATGCTCAGCGGTTAAGAGCACTGGTTGTTCTTCCAGAGGACCCAGGTTCAATTCCCAGCACCTACATGCCAGCTCACAACTGTGTAGCTCCCAACTCTAGGGGGATCTGACACCTTTACATCAATGCACATAGAAGAAATTAAAAAAAAAAAAAAACAACTTCTGGGCTGGAGAGAATGCTCAGAGGTTAAGAGCACTGACTGCTCTTCCAGAGATCCTGAGTTCAATTCCCAGCAACCACATGGTGGCTCACAACCATCCATGAGATCTGGTGACCTCTTCTGGCCTGCAGGGATACATGGAGGCAGGATGTTGTATTCATAATAAATAAATAAATCTTTAAAAAAAAAAACAACTTTTTGGGGGGGGAGGGTTTCTCTGTGACCTTGGAGGCTGTCTGGCCTACTTTGGGGGTTATTAGCATAATTTTTTTTTTTTGGTTTTTCGAGACAGGGTTTCTCTGTGTTGTTTTGGAGGCTCTCCTGGAACTTACTCTGTAGACCAGGCTGGCCTCTAACTCACAGAGCTCCACCTGCCTCTGCTTCCTGAGTGTTGGGATTAAAGGCATGCGCCACCAATGCCCAGCTAGCATAATTTCTGAATTGTAGTTTTCCTCAGATGTTGAGTTTTTCTTGTGAAAACCATTTCATTATGTTTTAATCCTTAACTTAGAAGTTAACAGTTTGCAAACATTTGCTATTCCAGGTTCCATATTTCTCAGTATTCTCTCCGGGTTTCTTTATCCTTTTCCACTAGCCTTATTCCTCGTTTGTTTGGTAAGTATATGAAATCAATTGGGAGACTGGGAAAATAAATAGAACATTGAGGGTGATTAACAGACTTGTGATTCCTGTTAAATCTGTCATAAGGAACTGTTGAGAGTTTGGTTTTCTTTGAGTGATGGTGGCACACTCCTTTAATCTCAACACTTTGAGGCAGAGGCAGGTGATCTCTGTGAGTTCAGGGCCATCCAGTCCTACATGGCGTGCTCCAGGATAGAGAATGCTGTTGCACAGAAACCAAACTGTCTTGAAAAACAAACAAACGAAAAAAAATAATAAGGTTTGGTACTACAGACTAATTTGGGATTATATAACCTTTCTTTCCTGTTGTTTTTTGCAGTTCAGATGGCTTAAGAGTGTGGGTCGACACAGTGAGTCTCTGGCCTGGAAGTACTATCTTTATGCATAGCTATAGGGGAGCTTTTTGTTTGTTTGAGGTAGGGTTTCTCTTTGTAACAGCCCTGGCTATTCCGGGACTTTCTGCCTGCCTCTGCCCATTGACAGTGGAATGCTTATGCTACCATATCCGGCTAAGGCTCCTTATACTTAAACTAAAGGACAGCGGTAATTACTGGATATGGTCAGAAAGTTTAATTTCAAGTACCAATTTTTTTTTTCTTGGTTTTTCAAGACAGGGTTTCTCTGTGGCTTTGGAGGCTGTCCTGGAACTCGCTCTGTAGACCAGGCTGGCCTCGAACTCACAGAGATCCACCTGCCTCTGCCTCCCGAGTGCTGGGATTAAAGCCGTGCGCCACCAACGCCCGGCCCAATTTTTTTTTTAACTGATCTTGTTTTGAGTTACAGTTTGAGAAAGGACTAGATCAAATAGGTTCTTATTCTCTAGATTGTTCTGCCTGGCCCTGAATGAGGTCAACTAAGTAAATTCATCTACAGGAATGAGATGGGAAGGTACAAAGTACACGTGTCTTTATGTTTTCCAGTGTTCTGGACTTGGTGCCTCATTCTGCTACATGCTCTCCTATTTAGTTGGAAGACCTGTTGTATACAAATACCTAACTGAGAAAGCAGTAAAATGGTCACAGCAGGTAAGGCATATGCTTTGGTTTTTTTTTTTTATCATTTTTTAAAAAATAATGTGGTAAGAAAAATTTTAAAAATAATAATTTTGTTCTTTGAGAATTTCATGCAGTTTATTTTGATTATATTCACACATACCCTGTTTTCTTCCTATGTATCCCTGGTGGGCCTCAGTTTGTAGACCAGACTAGCCTCAGATTCACCTCTATTACCTCCCTACCTCTGCCTCTAGAGGCAGGGATTAAATAAAGTCTTGGGCCACTACTCCTATAAGAACTTTATTTTAAAACATGTGATGGTTAGTTTAAATTGTTAACTTGACACCAAGTAAAATATCCTGAGAAGAGAGACTCAGTGAGGAATTGTCTAGATTGGATTGGCCTGTAGGATTTTCTTGGGTGTGTTATTTGAGATGGGGAAAACCTATCCTGAAAGTGGTCAGCACCATTTCAGGGGCTGAATCCTGAACTGAATGAAAAGGAGAGCAAACTAAGCACTAGGCATTGCTGTCTTCAACATTGTATCTTGATTTTGTTCAACCCAAGTCTGACTTTTCTCTCTGCTATTCCTTCAATACTTATCCTTCCTATATTCTCTATCCTTAGTATATTCTTCATCCCTCACCTAACATACTAAGTCTAATTAGTGTTGCCTGCATGTTCGTGGGTGTAGGTCATCCACTGGAGCACAGGTAACCTACCACCTCAGAAAAATGACCCCCTCTCTCCTAGCAGCTCCTAACTACCAAAAGCTCCTTAGCTAGGGGTAGAACCTAATAGATCCCTGTCCATGCATGCTGGAGTGTTACGGTGCAATTAAACATTGCTTAATCTTGTGCAAAATACCGTAGCTGCTGTAATCATGAGTGCAGTGGCCATGTTACTCCTGACATCATTTCACAGTATTCCTTCCCATCCTCTATCTCTTAAATTCTTTGCGCTACCTTCTTCTGTGATGTTCCTTCAGACCCATTTAGGTCTGAGCACTCAACAGTCACTTATTGTCAGTACTTTTGCAGTTAAGACTCTGCATTGCTGCCTACTGCAAAAAAGCCCTTTGGCAACATACACTTTTAGTAAGACAAGAGTAGTTAGTTCTCTTCTAGTACCTATGACCTCTCGAGCCGTACAGTGCCATAGTTTGAGTTTTTTGGGATATGACCTTGTTATATGGCATTTCATACATGTATGCAATGTATTTTGATCATCTACACGCTCTAATTCTACCCCTTAATCTCTTCTAGACTAACTTCCCAAAACACCCCCTCCCAGTAATGTCAGTATCCTTTTTCTTCTTTCTGTGTAACAGCCCTGGCTGTCCTGGAACTCACTTTATAGACCAGACTGGCCTTGTACTCACAGATACCCACCTCCCTCTGCTTCCCAAGTCCTGGGACTAACGGTGTGTATGAGCACCACCCAGCTAAGTGTTTTCCGCTGAGTCTAGTTGGTGCTTGCTGTTCATGTGCTGATAGGTGTGGAGTACCCTGGTTTATTTTTAAATTGTGGATTATAACTTGGGTTATAAGTAGGTAGATAATCCCCTTGAAAACAATTTGCATTTGTATAGACTATAAGTTTTGTATTTGATTTTTTTTTTTTTTTTTTTTTTTTTTTGGTTTTTTCGAGACAGGGTTTCCCTGTGGCTTTGGAGGCTGTCCTGGAACTAACTCTTGTAGACCAGGCTAGTCTCGAACTCACAGAGATCTGCCTTCCTCTGCCTCCCAAGTGCTGGGATTAAAGGCGTATTTGATAATTTTATGTATGAAATTAATTTATAAAAATTATCTTTTGACAGGAATAATATTAGTGGAATGCAAATAATTATGCTTGTCATGATTATGTTTTCTCTCTTTCTCTTTTGTTGGTGCTCTGCTGAGGATGCAGACACACTCTCATACAAAACCTAGCACTCTGCCACTGAACTGCATACTGTTTTGAGAAGGGGTCTCACTGTGTATACCTGGCTGGCCAGGAACTCACAGAGATTCACCTGCCTCTGCCTCCCTAGTTCTGGGATTAAAGGCTGAGCTACCACCACCTGGCCAGATTTTTTATTTATGTGTATATGTGTGTTTTGTGTGTATATCCATGTCTGTGGAGGCCAGAGTAGTGTCAGATCCCCTGGAGTTGGAGATACAGGTTGTGAGCCACCTGATGTGGGTACTGTGGTCTGAACTCAGGTCCTCTGGAAGAGCAGCAGGTGCTCTTGACTATTGAGTTGTTTTTCTAGCCACAATAATGTACTTTTTTGAGGCAGGTCGTCATGTAACCTATGCTGGCCTTGAATTCCTGATCCTTCTGTTTCCAACTCTTGCCATTAGTTTATCTTTTTTTTTCTAGATTTATTTATTATGTATACATTGTTCTGCCTACAAGTATGGCTGCAGGCCAGAAAAGGGCATCTCATTACAGATGACTGAGAGCCACTGTGTGGTTGCTGGGAATTGAACTTAGGACCTCTGAAAGAGCTGCCAGTGCTCTTAACCTCTAGCTATCTCTCCAGCCCCTTGTTTTGTTTTCAAATTAGTTAGCAGAAGTCATTGCCAATATGAAAGCATCCAAAGTTAGTCACTTCATGTTTTGTGTGGATGTAGCATATTGTCAGTGGGTAACTGAAAAAGCCTTCAGTCTACTGCTCTTAAGCATTTCAGTAGGAAAACTGCTGTTTTCAGTTAGGATCTCTAAAAAGACTAGCAGTGTGATTAATATACTGTACATAGGAAAACGCTACCATAATCTCTTTGGTATATTAGACTCTTTGTGACAAATGCTGGAGAAAAACACAGGCATGATTTTGTTCATTCTAGGCCAGTGGTGGACAGAGCACTAAGCAGAGGATGTTTGTTTCAGTGTCTTTTCACCTCGTGTCAGAGAGGAACCCAAAAGGGATCCTGTGTGGAACCAGGATACAATTCTAAGCATACCCTTCAGCTAGGGCATGGTGGCATGTTCCTTTAATCCCAGACGCTCTGGAGGCGTTGGACAGATCTCTAAGTTCGAGGCCAGCCTGGTCTATAGATGGAGCTCCAGGACAGCCAGGGTACATAGAGAAATCCTGTCTCAAAAAACAAGACACCCTTCAGGTAGCCAACTTCCTTCAGCTATGCCCCACCACCCAGTTTACATAACCTTTGATAGTTATACAAATTAGAGACCTAGGCTTCAATACATTAGAGGTGATGGGGGACATTTTACTTTTAAACCAGAACAGGAGGAGAATTCTAGTTTTATGAACAGATCAGAAGAAATTAATTGTGTCTCTGGAAATACAGGGATCCTTTCTTAGCCCCTTGTTTTAGAGATTAAGTTAAAGTTTTGTATTTTACTTTAGTTTGTGATCAAAGATTTGGAAAACACCTGAAATCCAGTGGCTAGACTTTGTTTACACTTCATTCTAGATCCTTTTTATTGTGTATACTGCATATTAATTTTATATGTATTTTTATTTGGAATAGCTGTTTTGTATAAGTGATAATTACCAATTATATAGAAATATAAGTAATTAGTATTTATATGTAATAAAATTTTGTTTACTTATTTAATTCACTCACATAATAACATATGATGAAGGTTATGTGAAATTTTTTAAAAATTGGAAACTGGAGGCTAGCATGAGTGAGTCCCTAGGATCACCTCCCCACCCCCATAACCATAAAAATTACAATTAATTTTTAATCTGTGAGACCCACAGTGAAGAGGAAAAAAAAATTTAACTCTGTATGTGGGGATGGGGGTGGTTCTGGGTATTTAACCCTGAGCTTTGCACATGGTAGGCAAATGCTGTACCATTGACCTACAGACCCAGAAAAACACACATTGTTTCTGTTGGGTAAATTGTGATATATCATGAACAAGAATTGAAGGTATTTTCTATTAAGCAGTTTACTTTCAATATTGGTCTTAACTTATACCAGTTCTTTTCTAATTACAGGTAGAGCGTCATAGAGAACATCTCATTAACTACATTATATTTTTGAGAATCACACCATTTCTGCCTAATTGGTTTATTAATATTACATCTCCTGTGATAAATGTGCCATTGAAAGTGTTTTTTATTGGCACTTTTCTAGGTAAGACCTCTGGTTCCTGCTGCGTGACAGCTCATTGTGTGCTTGTCCAACTGTCCAGGCGGCCTAGATTGCCTGCTGTGTGCAAAGTCACCAGTACCATATATAACTCTTGGGTACAAAGCCTGGCCTAGATAAATAGTTCAGTGTGTTGTACTGTGTTACCTATGTAAAATGTGTGTGTGTGTTACTAGAACTCAAACCTGGGACTTGCCTATGCCGAGACAGCAGCTCTATACCACCAACTACATCCTTAGCCCAAAGAGAACTTTTTATTTTCATCCTAACTCTGGCCTGGCAGCCCTTTCTTCCTTTGCCAGCTACAGCCAGTTAGATCAGAGATGACAAGCTCTAAGGGCCACGATGTTTATTGGCAGAAAGCTCTTATGAGCCTGGACTGCATGTTCTCTGGTGAGCTAACCAGGCTCAGGTGCCCTCTGGCCTTCCAAAGGACTTTGTGGGTGTGTCTCCAGCCTGATTATTATTATTATTTTTTTAAGGCAGGTTTTGTCTGTGTAACAGTCCTGGCTATCCTGGAACTTGCTTTGTAGACCAGGCTGGCCTTGAGCTCACTGAGATCTGCCTGCCTCTGCCTCCCAAGTGCTGGGATAAAAGGCATGTGCCACGATCATCTGGCCTGAAATTTTTTTTTAACTACACTGTCTGTCTCAGTAGACAGAAACATTTATTTCTGTTTTTGAAATTTTTCCTTTTCATTCTAATCAAATATTGAAATCAGCTTAATACTGGTATTATTAGAAGTCTAGGAGAAGCAAAATCAACAAACATTAAGGAATTGACACCACATTTTGAAATGAATAAGTGGACATAACAATTCATTTAGGAGAGTTGAGTGCTTGCCCAACTACTGTACACAAGGGCCTGTGCTTGATTCCCAGAACTGCAAAAAAACAAAAAACAAAAACCTCAACATTTGTAACTTCTGCCTTTTTTTAAATTTATTTTTTTTTATATACATTGATGTTTTGCCTGCATATATGTTTGTGTGAGGGTATTGGTTCTCATAGAGCAGGAGTTATAGACAGTTGTGAGCTGCCATATGGGTACTGGGAATTGAACTCTGGTCCTCTGGAAGAGCAACAGGTGCTCTTTGCTGTTTAAGTATCTTAGATTCAGCATGTGGAGTTTTCATGTATTGGATATTTGTTAAACGTTTAATACTTATGCATTCTGACTTTTTTGTTTGTTTTCTTTTGTTTTTTGTTGTGTCTTAGGGAGAGAAAGAATATGCATGTGAGTATAGGTGTAGGTACCTGTGGAGTCAGAGGCATCAGATCTCCCTGGACCTGGAGTTCTGGGTGTTGGTGACCCACACAACATGGGTGTTGGACACAGACCCTGATCTTCTGCAAGAGCAGCAAGCATTCTTAACCACTGAGCCATCTTTCTAGTCCTTCCATTTACTTCATATTATACACTGCTGTGCCTACTCAGGCTTTGAGTATCTTCCTGCCTTCTACTATTTTTGTGTCTGATTTGGAGGTAGAGCTTGAACCCAGGTCCTTTTGCATGATTGACTGGCACTCTACCATTGAGTTGTATCCCTAGCCCATATCATTTTAATTTAAGTCTCTTCTACATAATATGTTCAACCTGTGCTTTTGTGTGTGTGGGGGGTTGGGGATATTGGCAGTAAGTGGGCTTGAATTTAGTTAGGGCTTCATGTATGCTAGGCGCATACTCTGTCATTGAGTTAGAGCCCCAACCCTCCTTTTTTTTTTCATTGTACTTTTACTTTGAGACAGATTGCTTAGGCAAAAGCTTGCTTGATATCTAATGGCTTTCCTGCCTCAGCCTCCCTAGTAGCAGTAGGAATTACAGGGATGATTGACTTTTAAAATATACTAACTGTTGTGAAGTTATTCTCTGGATAACATTTTTTTGTTTTTGTTTTCATTTGTTTTCTCATTTTCTGGCTTTTAAAAATTTCATTATCCTTAGGAGGTGACTATGAAAAACTGAATTACTTAAGGGAACTACACTTAAGGAGCCTGAAGTTTTCTACCCATCTAGTGAGCCATCTCACTAGCCCTTCTTGTACTTTGGAATATTAAATTCAGTATGAAAAGATGCACTTTTTAAATTGAACAACAGGAGGCTGGAGAGATGGCTCAGGTTGGGAGCACTGACTGTTCTTCCAGAGGTCCTGAGTTCAATTCCCAGCAACCACATGGTGGCTCACAGCCATCTGTAATGAGATCTTGTGCCCCCTTCTGGTGTACAAGCATACATGCAGGCAGAACACTGTACAAAATAAATGAAATTAAATTGAACAACAGGGAGAGATTTGATCTTGGTGCATATAACAAAGATTTCATTTTATTAGCACAGGGCTATTAATAGGACTGAATGAGCTATCTAGACAAATGAGAACGAGTAACACCTGAAATTAATTTTACTTCCATGTTATACTTGAGTCTATGTCAGATAATTTTATCATTTCAAACTGTAATTCATATGGCAGATAGTGGTAGTGCATGCCTTTACTGCAGGCACTCAGAAGGCAGAGGCAAATGAATCTCTGAGTTCAAGGCCAGCATAGTCTATAGAGCTAGTTCCAGGACAGTCAGGAATACACAGAGAGGCCCTGTCTCAAAAAACAAAAAACAAAACATAATGTAATTCATGTGAATGGTGTGTGTTAGGATTGTTCCAAGGCGTCCTATTGCTAACTAAGTACGTGCCTGTTTTAATTTCTTAATCCTTTCTTCAAAATGCAAATAGCTGTGTCCTAAAAGACAGTATATGCACATAGAAATTTAATTTTTAAATGTGGTTTGGGAGGGGTCTGGAGAGATGGCTCAATGGTTAAGAGGACTTGTTGCACTCAAAGGGGACAATTCCCAGTATCCATATGGAGGCTCATACCTGCCTATCTGTAGCTCTAGTTCTAGGGATCTGGACTCCATGGGCACTACACATATATGGTGCGCTTACATACATGTGAGCAAAACATGCATGCATATGAAAAAAAATGGTGGTTTTTACTTCATATGACAGGCTGCCAGTGCCACTCACTTGCTGTGTTTTATTTTTTGTTTTAGGTGTTGCACCTCCTTCTTTTGTAGCAATTAAGGCAGGAACAACTCTGTATCAGCTTACGACAGCAGGGGAAGCTGTTTCCTGGAACTCCGTATTTATTCTAATGATTTTGGCTCTTCTTTCTATTCTGCCAGCCATCTTCCAAAAAAAACTAAAACAGAAATTCGAATAAAAATCGGGGTTTTTGTTTACCACCACCATCACTACCACCACCATCATCTCAGGATTGATTAGCAGGTGTATCCATCCATTTTATGTTTTGAAATCACCTCTTCAGTAACTGGAGGAAGGATTTGTAAAGTGAAACATCCCACAAGACAGTTAAAATAGTGCATTTGTGTGGCAAGAGAGAAAGACGCGCTGTCATTAGGTTTGTGAGCTGTATCTTAGAAAATACTATGCAAGAGAAGCTCTGAGACATCATTCATGTAGCTTAATTTGTGATTCTTACTCTGAAATGATTAATTGAATTTAGTGTTTTTTTCTTTTCTGTCTGACTAATAACTAAAATAGTGAACTTGGGTACAAATATGTAATCCTATCAGGTCAGGATACTTAAGGCCAGAGGATTGCTAGTTTGAGACCAGCTTGAGCAATGCCACAACGCGCTGTATTAAAGTAAAATAAGGTACAGTGAAATCAAATAAAAAATTCAGACCACAAACTGAATACTTGAAGCAAAAGGGGGGCTTTGTTTTCTTTCTCTTTTCAGACAGCACTTTCCATAGGCTAGTGAATGTACCAAGGGTGAGTTATTTAAGTTTTCCTTATAGATTTTTATCATGGATTAGTCTGATAATTTAAATTCTGGCCAATCTGTTTTCATCCTTTTTCTAAGTTTTACAGTATTTCCATCGTACAGATATAAAATGAGAATTATATGCCTGTATCATATTGGTGTTGATAATGTATATTCAGATAATATTTTATTACAGTGTCTTTATTATCTCAAAGGGATTCTAAAAGTAAGTACTCGAAGCATATAGTTTTTAGACATTATTTTATACTGAAACATCTGGCAGAAGCATTAGTAGTTAAATCTAGTTTATTTGTTCTAATGACTGTAAATTTTGCTTCATTAGTATGTCTGCTCATTAAAGAGTATATTGTGTAATTACCTTTTATGCATGATAATCTGTGGATTGCTTTGTTGCCTTTCCCTTGGTGACTTCTTGTTTGGCACAGACAGCACTTGATTAGTACAGTTTCCCAACTGTATAGCTTTTACTTTCTCACCTCATGGAGTAAAACAGTGTCTTGGAAGAGACTCCTTTTGGCTCTGTGGGTATGCCCTTCATTGCTGGCCAGGAGAGTGATGTAAAGCACTTTAAGATCCAGTTGGTGTCTTGAACACTTGCTTTAGCGGTGTGGGAAGTCCTTGTGTTTTTTATTCTTCATAGTCTGTTCATTGAAGCCCGTTTCTCCTGCATAATGTGGACTAATCTTTTTCTGTCACAGTATTAACATGTGAGTATTACAAATACAAGGAAAATAATATTGATTGATAGTGTAGTCTTGTGTCCTTTTGTGTGAAATTGTTAGGTCTAGCAAAGTTTTCTTTCTTACTGACGAGAGACTGAGCAATTAAAGAAAGCTTTTTTATTTTTATAGATGAATCAAGCACATAGCTGTTTGGGACAAAACTTACTAATATTGTGTAAATATTGAAGCTGGGCATGGTAAGATGCTTGCAGTCCCAAGATTTGGGATGTAGAGATTCAAAGTTAGATTTGGCAACATAGTGAGTTGAGGACAACCTGGCATGTGTGTGTGTATAAATTTTTATCAGGCCTTTACAAATAAATAACAGGAGAGACCCTGCTGTTTATTTTCATTTGTATATGGTGCTTACTTTATACTGAGAATATTCTCTCCACAAATTCTTTCCTATTGCTATTTTTTTTCCTACATACAACAGGAGCTGCCACTTTAGTTGGTTATATTTTCTTCTCCCAGGAAAGAGTAATAACTATTGTTTTAACATTTCACCCTTGACTATCAAGAAAGAACTTTGGAGGCTGGTGAGAAAACTCAGAAGTTAAGAGCACTGACTGCTTTCCCAGAGGTCCTGAGCTCTATTCCCAGCAACTACCTGGTGTCTAACAACCATCTATAATGGGATCTGATGCTCCTTTCATCATGCAGATGCACATGCAGACAGCACTGATACATAAAAAAATACATATAAAGCCGGGCGTTGGTGGCGCACACCTTTAATCCCAGCACTCGGGAGGCAGAGGCAGGCGGATCTCTGTAAGTTCGAGACCAGCCTGGACTACAGAGTGAGTTCCAGGACAGCCTCCAAAGCCACAGAGAAACCCTGTCTCGAAAAACCAAAAAAGAAAAAAATACATATAAAAAAGTAAAAAAAAAAATGGACTGGAGAGATGGATCAGAGGTTAAAACCACTGCCTGAACACTGAATATGTAAGAAATAAACAAATCTTGCCAGGCATTGGTGGCTCACACCTTTAATCCCAGCACTTGGGAGGCAGAGGCAGGTGGATCTCTGTGAGTTCCAGGACAACCTTCAAAGCAATACAGAGAAACCCTGTCTTGAAGAAAAAATAAAAAAATAAAAAATAAATCTTTAAAAAAAGAAATGTTTCAAAAAATAGGTAAAAAAATTAAAGAATAATTTGGGGGCTGGAGAGATGGCTGGTGCTGCCTTCTGGCTTGCAAGCAGAACACTATACATAATAAATAAACCTTAAAAGGGGGTGGTGCTGGAGAGATGGCTCAGTAGTTAAGAGCTCTGACTGCTCTTTAAAGGCCCTGAATTCAATTCCCAGCAACCATTTGGTGGCTCACAACCATCTATAATGGGATCTGAAGCACTCTCTGGTATGCATACAGACAGAGCACCTATACCTAAAAAAATGTTTTTTAAAAAAACAGGACTTAGGGGCTAGAGAGATGGCTCAGGTTAAGAGCACTGACTGCTCTTCCAGAGGTCCTGAGTTCAATTCCCAGCAACCACATGGTGGCTCACAACCATCTACAATTCAATCTGGTGCCCTCTTCTGGCACGTAGGCAGAACACTACATGTAATAGATAAATAAAATTTAAAAAATCTTAAAAAAAAGAGAGAGCTTAGACCAAGCATGGTGATCCAATCTGAGTTCTAGGCTAATTAAAAAAAAAAATTGGGCCAGGCAGTGGTGGCACTTGACAGGCAGATCTCTGTGAGTTCGAGACCAGCCTGGTCTACAAGGACAGCAAGTTCCAGGACAGCCTCCAAAGCCACAGATAAACCCTGTCTCAAAAAAAAAAAAAAAAAAAAAAAAAAAAGGTGCCTTGGCAAAGATACATCTTCACAGTGTAAACAAATATTTCACAACATTTCCTCTTCTCTAGATAAAAAGGAAAAGTTTTAACTAATACAGTAAAACTATATATGATGACAATTATCAGGTAAGAGTTATATTTTTTTTAATATTTATTTATTATGAATACAACATCCTGTCTCCATGTATGTCTGCACACAAGAGGGCACCAGATGCTGGGCGTTGGTGGCCCATGCCTTTAATCCCAGCACTTGGGAGGCAGAGGCAGGCAGATCTCTGAGTTTGAGGCCAGTCTGGTCTACAGAGCGAGTTCCAGGACAGCCTCCAAAACAATACAGAGAAACCCTGTCTCAAAAAACCACAAAAAAAAGGGGGGGGGGTTGGAGAGATAGCTCAGCAGTTAAGAGCACTGACTTTCAGAGGACCCAGGTTCAATTCCTAGCATTCACACGGTGACTCACACCTATCTGTAACTCAATTTCAGGCCTTCTGACACCCTCACACAGACATGCATACAAGCAGAACACCAATGCACATGGAAATAACTTCATCAACAGTAATGCTTGAATGACTGATCCAGTTTCTCTTTTTAGCAACTGTGTTCATACTAGACCAAAAATGGAAGCAATCAAGATGTCCTTCAATGAACGAGTTTTTAAAAAGAAAGCAAAGTTAAAACATAAAAGAGGAGCTGGGCATGGCAGCACTAGTAGAATCCCAACTCTAGAGGCAGAAATTCAAGGCCAGTCTGAGCTACATAACGGAACCCTGTCTCTAAAACCCAAAGCAAACAATCTTCATTCTCTTAATCCCTTGGCTTGAGATAGCATCCTAATAATAAAGTGCTTGCTTGTCTGGCATACCTGAGGCTTCTGGGCTTAATCTCTAGAAAGCATACAGTCAAAGAGTAGAAATTAAAGAGACTAGGTGTGATACTCGCCTGTACCATCATATAACCATGGTCTCTTTGAGGGTGGAAACTGGACCCATGAGAAGTAAGATTGATCTGGTCTCCACAAACTGATGTTTGAGGAAAAGGAAAGTAGCTGGGACTGTATCGCCTAGGAGTAGTGTACTTGCCTCTCATGCATGGTGCACCTTAGTTTCAATCCCCAGTCATGCAAAAGGGGAAAAAGAGTACTCAAGGGATCAGGTGAGGGTGATTTGTATAATAGTAGATGGGAAGGCAATTGGGTTATGTACCTGGTGACTTGAGAGAGAAGCTGGGCCTGGAACTCTTCTATTTCTCCATCTGAAGCCTAGTAGCATTGCCGAGCTGCCTGGAGTTCTCAATGTTCTACCTACAGAAGTGCTGTTGAAAACATTCTGAACACGAGGCCCAGAGATCTGAGTTGGAACAGTGATGGAGAGTTCATGTCCTCAAAACTCCAGGTTTGTCTATTTTAAATAAAGATTTGATGAATGCCTGAAAGGTTTTGTGTTGTGACTTTTAAATTGACCACAGGTAACAACTTAGACCATCGTTATTGGTAGTAGTATAGTGGGACAGTCTGTTGTGTGACATTTTGGGGTTGACTTTGAACAACTGTATTCTAGATCTGTTAAGCAAAAAAAGGACTTAAGGTAGCAATTTTAGGTGGTTTTAAAAATATATCAGGGTTGGGGAAATGACCTATAGGTTAAGAGCACTTGCTTCTTTTGTAGAGGACCAAGGTTTGTTTCCCAACACATAAAGTGGCCCACAGCCATCTGTAACTTCAGTTCCAGAATGCCCTCTTCTGACCTCGGGGCACCAGACATGCAGTTGTGCACATAACACATGAAGGCAAAATATACATATACAATAAATCAAACCATTGTGGGTTAGAGAGAGACCTTAGTAGATACTCAATAACTGATTGAGTACAAAGTTTGGATCCCAGCAGCTGTGTCCTGCAAACGCTGGTAACTCCAGCTCCACAGACAGCTACATAGACACAAAAACACAAGTAAATAAGAACATGATGGTATATGCCTACAATTCTGAAAACAGGTAGGTTTGTGGTTTTCAGATCATCTGGGCTACAAAATAACATCCTGTCTAAAGAAAAAATAGGGGCTGGGGAGAGGGCTTAGTGAGCTGGATCCCTGGGTGGTACAAGAAAACTGGATGAGCAATGGATGGTATCTCACACCTTTAATCCCAGCTCTCAGAAGGCAGAGGCAGGTGGATCTTTGAATTGAGGCTAGCCTGGTCTATATACCAAGTAAAGACCGCCCACAGATACACACTGTCTGCTATAATCCATACTAGCCTTCAGCAGTTTACTCATTCTGAGAATAACCTTGAACTTGTGATCCTTCGGGCTATACATCCCTGTCCTGGCACTCACTCTGTAGCCCAGGGTGACCTCAAACTCATGGAGATCCACCTGTCTCCACTTCCCAAGTGCTCAAGTCCTGGAATTAAAGGCATGCAGCACTACTGCCCTATCTTTTGGAACTCACTCTGTAGACCAGGCTGGCCTTGAACTCAGAGATCTGCCTGCCTCCTGAGTGCTGAGATTAAAGGCATGCGCTACCAATGCCCGGACAAACCCATACCTGTAATCTATGTTGTTTTACGTGGCTTGGTTGCCTTTACTCTGTGCTGCTCATCCTGCTTCCCCTGCATCTGGTGACTCTGCCTTCATTCTTCCCAGAGTTCCCTCTGCCCCCAGAATCCCCACCTAACCTCGTTCTGCCTATGATTGAATAATCATGTTTATTAAAAGGCTCATTGGCAAGTGCCTTACTATCCTTGGGGAGTGGGTGGGGGATTGGGGGTGCTGGGGGGGCATGGAAGGATGGGAGGGCTAGGGAATGGGAGGATTGATATGTAAAATAAGATTGTTTCTAAAAAAAAAAGGTGCCTTGGCAAAGATATATCTTCACAGTGTAAACAAATATTTCACAACATTTCCTCTTCTCTAGATAAAAAGGAGTTTTAACTAATACAGTAAAACTATATAATGACAATTATCAGGTAAGAGTTATATTTTTTTAAAGCTTTATTTATTTATTATGAATACAACATCCTGTCTCCATGTATGTCTGCACACAAGAGGGCACCAGATGCTGGGCGTTGGTGGCCCATGCCTTTAATCCCAGCACTCGGGAGGCAGAGGCAGGCGGATCTCTGTGAGTTTGAGGCCAGTCTGGTCTACAGAGCGAGTTCCAGGACAGCCTCTAAAACAATACAGAGAAACCCTGTCTCGAAAAACCAAAAAAGAAAACAGTACCAGATCTCATTATAGATGGTTATGAGTCATCACGTGGTTCCTGGGAATTGAACTCAAGTCCTCTGGAAGAACAGTCAGTGGTCTTAACCTCTGAGCCATCTCTCCAGTCCCTAAGAATTTTATTTACAAGGTCAAGTCCATTTGTGTTTGGCAAGTTCAGAGAACATACTCCCATTACCTATCCTAGTTTGGTATGTCAAAATTTTGTACCTAACTCTCTCTCTCTCTCTCTCTCTCTCTCTCTCTCTCTCTCTCTCTCTCTCTCTCTCTCTCTCTCTCTCTCTCTCTCTCTCTCTCTCTCCCTCTCTCCCTCTCTCCCTCTCTC